CAGGAGCTCCCAGGGGTTCCAGGGGCACTGAGGCAGCAGCTCACACCTGAACGGGTTAGGAGCGTTGTACACAGGTTCTGACTAACAAAGCACCTTGCTCAAGCTCCAGGGCTTTTGGCTCTTCCCAAGGGACACTGCCACAGTCCAACCACACTTTGCTGTTCCAGAAAACGACGTGGGGAGGGCAGGCAGATTGCAAGCAGGAGCAGCAGTGAGTGCAAGGATTCTCACACCTATACCCTTTCCTGTGCCACTCTGGATTTTTGCCTCTCTGAGGCTGTTGGGAACACAGAAGAAACATTAAGTGTGTAGTTTGCTACAGTTCCTCTGATTAAATTTACGAGAAAGGATCCCAGATTATTAACCCCAGTAAATGGAGGGTTCCAGACTCATCTTTTGTCCCTTCTCTCCCACCCATACAACTGCTAACACCACATCTAGACAGATCAGGAATTGTGCTAGCACACCCTCAGCTCCTGAAAGGGTTTTCTACCTCTGCTGTCAAAAAGCAGGATTCAGTAGCCAAATAAATGATTGATGGAAYAGAAATAATGTCACCATTCTCACTCTTCTCCCTGGTTGTGATTCCTGGCTGACACACATCATGTTCAGAGGCAGGATTTTCCACGGCTGCCTATTTTAAAGTCTGTGGGTTGCATTTGTAACAAGATACGAGGAGAATGAGAAAGGGGATGCCTCTGGTTTCATTCAGTTTGCAATCAGATACACAGAAGCATGGAAAGAGTGTSGGGAAATACACACTTTTTGTGGTTTTCCTACTTATCTGTGGTGCTGCCAGACTCTTCTCTGACTCTGGGGCTGTTTTGTCCCTGCTTCTGTCTGAGAGRGTCTAAATTGCCACTGGACCACCARAGGAATAAATTCTGCGTCCAGCCAGTGCTTTCTAGAAGAGAACTGCCACCTGCACAAAGCTTTTCTAGAAACACTTTTGCCTTTACACCTGCAGCAAACACTGTAATTGGCTCAGCATCCTCTGGTGGCAGGGAACACAAACCCAAAGGAATGATAACACTTGCCAATTGTCACATCTGCCTCCTGGAGAAGGCAARGCTYGGCTAGATACAGTACAAGCTGGTGYAAGAGAGCTGTGATAATCTCTGTAAGAAGCTTTGCCATCATGTTGAGAGGAGACAAAAATGCCAGAGATGAATTAAATAGTTAAGGAACCCTGACAGAAGAGAGCAGAAAGCGTTTCGAGATTATAACAGAGAGGAAAGTTAACTTGCCAAGCACGTTGAGTGCAAGCCTGAAGTCACATTTCCTCTTGGAAAGCGATCACAGATCCCCACCTGCCACCAGCCAGCCTCAGACACTCATAATAAGCACAGGAAATGCCAGCCCCAAGCTGTGCCTCGGCAGCAGCAGGTAACACTGCTCAAAACTGCCACTGASACACGGTTAAGGCAGAGGAGCACGTGGGGCAGGAAACCGGTCCTTGTGCAGCAGGAAGAGCCCCTCAATTTATTTAATCAAATTGYACACAGAAACACGCTCCATTTTCTCATCCCAGCTGCTTATTCCAGCATGAATCATCCTGACAACTGAAAGCAAGTTAATTCTCCTGGTGTTTCCCCACCACRATCAACATTTCCACATTTCCACCTGCTGCTTCTGCAGCATCCCAGGCTGTCCTCACATAGTGGCCACACACACACAGAGCAGCTCTCAGTGACATCCTCGGGGTGGACATCCACTTGAGCTGCAGGTAAACAAAACCCACACAGAGCTCATCCCTTCCTGGTTAAACAGAACATAAGAGGCTGCAGCGCTACAAACCCACCCAAAGGTCAGATGAATAAACCACCCAAAGAATGAGAGACTGAAGAGATTCTGGGAATTCAGGTAGTGCAATCTTGAGTTAATCATTGCCTTTTTTTGCCTTGAGTAACCCAAATGTGCTGTTTGAACATCCACATCTCCCCAGCCTCTTTTCTTCTTGAGAACTGTGCTAAGTTGCAGTTGTAAATGCTTCCCAGATTCACTATTTTTGGTAATTTAGAGCCATTACAAAATCATGGGCTGCTTGCAGCTTCCCAGTAGCTTTGCTGTCCCCTTCACTAGCCCAGCTCCCACTGGCACTGCCTTTGTTGGATAAACCCARAGGGAGGGAAGGGCCACTGGAGGTGGGACAAGGCAAGAGAAAAGTTGTCCCTTTACAACTTTCCTTGCCCCAGAAGGAGGGGGCAGGGTGGATTAACTAAGCTGAAAGAGTCCATTTTATTCCTGTAGGAAATTCTTCCCYGAGGCTCCATGCTCAGACTGAAATGAGAATCAGGGCCCATTTCTCCCACCCACTCAATTTGAGCTCTTTATCCTTTCTGTCACTTGCCTGAAGAGAGAGCAATAGAGAGGGAAGGGGAGGGARCAGCGGGGTGCAGTGAGAGAAGGGACAGGGCTGGGAATCTCCTGCCTGCCCCTCAAACGCTGAGCTGAGCAGGGACAGACCCAGCTCGGTGCCTGGCACACCATGGGGACAGCCTGGGCTAATCCTGTCCCTGCTGCTCCCTAGAGCAACCAGAGGCTTTGCAAATGGATCACAGTGGGCTACAGGAAATAAAGATGAAGAAATAGGCCACAGGGGTGTGAAAAACACACCAAAAACCCCCAACTCTTCCCGCAGAAGACAAGATCACCTTTTAGCCAGGGATGGCTGGAGTGCTGTAGTTCATTCCCTAAAGCACAARGAATAAATGTGCCAGCAGCAACCCATTATATGCCTCATTGTGGCATTTAATATTTAAAAAGGAAATTGTCTCAGAYGTTTTCCTTTCATTAATTCTTTCCTGGAGCCCAGCCTTCCCACTTGTGCATTTCAGCTYGGGAGGGGAAGAGCTATTCTCAGGAATAAAGCACACGTTACCACAGGCATCAGTGACACGATGAAACACAATTCCTCACCACTATCTCAGGAGCTTTTATAATGACACAGCTTCCTCTGGAGAGGCATTGGTTTGCCTCTCCTGGAGAGCACATTCACACAGCAGGGARTGATGTGGTGAAGTTTTCTCCTACCATCTTTAATAATAGGGCAGTTAAAGTCCACATCTGACTGGAGGCAGCTCTGCCACAGTCCAAGGAAACGGGACAAGAGAAAGTCCCTTCTTTGCAGGGTCACCAGGAGTTGTCTGAGCCCATCATGTGGCAGAGAGGAYGGTGGCAGCTGAAGCTGAGCCACCCAAGATAAACAGGTTTACGTGGCAACCACTGGGAAAGGCGTAACTGTTGTCTCTCCCCTCACAATGAAACCTTTCTCCTCTCACCGCAGAAGCTCTATGCTTGGACACAGACTGTGCTGTCCACGTGGCCAAGGCAGGAGTCAGCAGAGCTGTCTGCCTCAGAGGACATCCCCCCGTTCAGCTCCGACTCTGGGATGTGCTGTGAGAACGACTCGGAGGCCGTGACATCCCTGTCAGAGCCGCTGACCCCCGACACCTGCAGCCAGGGCCTGTCCATAGGGCAGGAGCTGGAGCAGGACGAGCAGCCCAGCTCCCTGCCCGAGGCACAGCCCCAGCCCTGCCACCCCGGGCACCCCAGCACCACGGACACCATCAAGGACTACGAGCTGTGGCTGGAGATGTGCATCGCTGCCCTCGAGAGGAACGTCTCTGAGGAGGARCTGGCTCAGGTGGACCAGACTGTGGATGCCCTGGCCAAGTGGGAAATGTTTACAGGACAGCTGCCTGCTATGAGGAAGGACCTGCCCTTTGCTAGGGACAGCACTGGGCTACGCAAAGTTCTCGGGGACAAATTTTCCTCCTTGAGGAGGAAATTGAGTTCCAGAAAACTGTCCAAAGGGGAATCATCCCCTCATCGCTGGCGGTGGGAGGACAATTAGGATGGGGCTGCCTTGGGCCAGATTTGCTCATGTTACTGCCCTGCTTCYGACCTTCCTCACCCCAAGCTGTTGCTGACAGAGAGGAACAGCAACTCCCCCCAGGAATAAACGGYGTTTTGTTTTCTGAGATTGCTAACACAGTTTTGATGTGATTGGTTCTTCTCTGAGGGGTTTTCCTGTGCAACCCACCTCAAGTCCCCTGTAGGTGCTTTATGTTCTTGGTGTGAAGTCAGCCAGGTCCTCACTAAACACTCAACATGCTCACACAGAAGCTTGGGCCATCTGAACAAACAGATGCAAATTAAACAGGGCAGCTCTCACACACACAGCTCTCCTCTGCTTAGCACGTCAGCCCCAGGCACAGATGAGATTTCTCCTTCTCCTCTCCCCCTCACAAACACTCAGAGTGCTCCGGTCACTGCCCCATCAGCTGGAGGTTGTGCTGAGCTGAGGAGGGAGATGGAGGAGATGGGCACAGAGTCAGGGGGTAAAGCAGAAAGATCCCTGGCAGCAAAGCAGGAAAATCCCTGGCAGTAAAACATGAAGATCCCTGGCAGTAAAGCAGGAAGATCCCTGGCAGTGAAACATGAAGATCCCTGGCAGTAAAGCAGGAAGATCCCTGGCGGTGAAACATGAAGATCACTGGCAGTAAAGCAGAAAGACCCTTGGCAGTAAAGCAGGAAGATCCCTGGCGGTGAAACATGAATATCCCTGGCAGTGAAACATGAAGATCCCTGGCAGTAAAGCAGGAAGATCCCTGGCAGCTGGGCTGCCACGAAGAGCAGCGTTAGGGTGACGATTGCCTCTTGGTGGATGCTCAGGAGGATCTCCAGAGCTGCCTCAGTTCAAAGAGCGTGAGCTGGAATTACTCACATCCTCTGTGGATTGGCACAGGAGAGGAAACCTTTGGAAACATTCACACTCATTGATTATTAATGTAAAGGGGGAACACACATGCATTCCTTTCTGCCTGGGGAAGTTATTGCCCTTCCCTCATCCCTGCTCTGCAGGCACCCCCTGAGCAGTGCCGGGTGCTGCGCTGGCACCCGCAGCAGCAGAGCCTCCCTCCCTCCCTTCCCATGGCCAGGGCATGCCGTTCCTCTCCGCTCCTCTGGCTATTTATAGCTGCAGCTCAAGAGGCCGAAGGGTTCTTTGCTGACCCTCTCCATCCCCTGCTCTCTCAGCCCTGATAACGCTCCCCCAGCTCACGGCAACGTGACTGAGTTCCAGATTTCTGCTGTCYAAAAATACCAGCAGGTAGGATCAGATCCAGTGCAGCTGCGAGAAGGAGAGGATGCTTCCCTGCGAGGAAGCAACAGCTTTGGCTTTCCGGAGCACTTGCCCTGTGCACTTTGAGGCCTCCAACCCTGCAGTGCAACTCCGGAGCAGGAAAGAAAATTGGATAATACTGGAAGATACTGGAAAAACGCCGGAGATTTACACACGCAGGTGAGTAGAAAAGATGGTCTTGCAGTAAATTCAGCTGGATTCCGGAAACACAAGCACTTCACATCCGCATGATTCATACCGGGAGAGAAAGGGAGTTTGGCTTCGGGACTGATGACGGCAATTCCTGGAAACATTTTTCCAGAGCCGCTGCTGCCGCCCTCTCCTGGCAGCCACAAAGGTGACGGTTTCTCATCCAAGACATTCTTCCCAGCAGCAGAAACTTTCCAAACCAGCCCTGCTTGAATTACAAACCCGAGTTCTGCCCCCGAACTCGCTTAGTCGCTGCCTGAACAGATTTACTATTTTAAGCAAGAGATTCCTCTCGGTTCAGGCTTGTTTGTTCTTCCTTGATTCCGGACTGAGTTATTAGGCTGAACTTTAGAAACTTTCCAGAAAGAGGCTCAGGATGACAATCCTGCCTAAGGGAACAGACGCAGCTTTCCATCATAAAATTCCAAAGACAACGGAGGAATGGGGTGGCACAAAAGGGCTGTCAGGAGTCACAGAGGGAGACTCCTTGTGACACTTTAATTACATTAGTGCTGCTGCGAGAGCAGGAATTTCTGCTGAAGAGCTGTTGTGACTACAACCAGGTATTTTTGACACCGTCACTGCCAGAACCACTGCTTACCTGCTCAGCTTGTCCACAGGACAAAAATGAGATGSCAACTCAGAGCATTACCTGGGCAAKGAAGGCACCGCAAAGAAGGCACCATTTATGTTTCTCTGCCCTGTGCTGACAGGCAGATGATGGAGAAATGAATCCTGCACATGACCCATCTTCRGGAGATGCCCCAGCAGAACCAGCACCTCCTTCCTGCAGCTGCTTTTGGTTCCATGTAAGAATCCCTAAGGCACCACACAGATCTGTGTGAGATTCCTCTGACTCCTCTAACCACACCATCCTGTGGCCACCTGGAGCACCCTGCACCATCASAGCAGCTCAGTCACACCCGCTCTGCCCCAAGCTCAAGGACATTTGTTTTGAAGCAACTTCTAAAGTCTAATCCTGAACATAGTAAAAAACACAGGCTTTTAATAGCTTTACGAGCTCATAGACAAATACCTTCTCCCAAGAATAAACAGGCAGAACATTCCACTCCTACTCCMAAAACAAGGACTTGCTGCAGCTGAAGGGAGAGGGGATACAAAGCAACTRTCCAGAGGGAAAAAAACCCACAACTAAAAAATTCGTGTTCTTTACTAGTTCGGGGTGCAATTGCCTATAACAGCTCGCAAGGGTGCAGAGGAGGAACCAGCATCTTCCTCACACATTTCATTAGCATTATCCAGCACTTTGTGATWTAACAGTGGCCGTGACCACTTCTCTTCCCTAAAAATGGAACTTTTCACTGAAGTCTGCTTCTGCAAAATTAAGGCTTTAAGGGAAAGCTACTTTTGGTAAAAATCCCCGAACGCTCTTCCTAATAACTCTTCCTGCCTCAGCACCATGCAGCTTCCCAAGATGCCAGCTAGTTCTGCGAAGAGTGGCAAGAAGTTTGGTCTTAGTAACTGAATAAACTTCCTCTGGGTCTGAAAGGATAATGAGATACCAGGCTGGAGCTAGAAACCACAGGGATTTAATTTCCCTGCTCAAAGAGTTCCAACAAATACTTAAATATTACTGTAACTACCCCAAAACCTTACACCTTGTACACTTGAGCAAAAATACAAACTATACTTTTCATTTTAGAGAATGTGAATTTTTGCATTTTTCTCCCAGGGGAAACAGACGTGTTTTCCCTTTTATCTTCAGTGCTGGRTTACTGAAATTGCAGAAGAGACTCTGGATGTGAACAGGGAGTTGTGCTGATCCTGGGAAGGCGATTCCACATTAATATACGGAGTTCAGGCTCTCCTTGGGGCACAAGCACTCACTGGCACTGAACAAACACTCCTGCAGAACAACTGCTTCAGCCCTGCTCTTATGGAGCAACATCTGTGCAGCTGAGTTATRGAAGGGGCATCTCATGGAACACCTGGGCCCCAAAAAGGAACAGTTTGCTCCACAGAGCCGAGCAAAGAGCTCCCCTGGAGCTGCTGCTGTTGCTGAGAGCTTTCCAGATCACCAAGCAGTGCTCACACCTGGGCACCTCCTGTGAGAGGGTGCTGAATTTGCCATTGGTCTGCCCTTTTTTCAGAGATGCAGAACAGAGGCAATATATGCCACCTGAARGTGCTCAGCAACCCAAGAGACGAATCACCCTTTCCCAAAGACTTGATGCAGCTGAGGTGCTGCATTTCCAATTATCAGTAAAAGGGACAAAAAATGCTCCATGAAGTGTTTCGAGTTGCACACTGCCCGTGGAACTGACTCGGCATTAATAGTTTACACAAGAAACAATCAAAAATTGCCACACAAATCTGCCAGCTGTGACCTTGTGAGGTGAGGAAATGTGAGGAAAGGTTAATGGCATTGCTGAGGAGTGCAGCCCGAGCTCTGGCAGCATCGGGATGGCAATGCTGTGTGACAGGGACACCRGTGACCCTCCCAAGGTCGATGGTTCTGCAGTGCTCCACTGGGAGAGCAGCAGGCACAGCCCCCAGGGCTATTTATTATCAGATGCTGCACAGCACTGAGGAAATCTCTAACAGGTGCTCCCATCTCAACAGGCCCAATTATCTTCCCAGGCTGAGCTTAAAATACATAAGCAAACTCCAGCTGTGCCTCCCCTCCCACTTCCCATCAGCCCAACGCCCCAGGCAGCCCCTGGAATGCTACAGATGAATGAACTCCCAGTTTCACACAGGTTAATGTGTCACCAGCCTGAGCTCCTGGACACACTCAGGAGGAATGACTCCAACAAGAAGTGGAAGATACCTAAAGGTTACAGACTGTGATTTCATGGTGTGACAGCTGCAGTTCCATTTGTTCAAAAAGCAACTCTCTCACAGAAATAAATTTAATAAAAACATCACTTCAGACTCTTATTGAAAGACAAAACCCATAAAGAACAGTATAACAAGTCAAGTTTTAATAGATTTATAAAATTCATATATACAAAACAGTAAACTAAGTCACCAAAGCTATAAAATACACTTTTTACACATCACAATATAATTTTATCTAGTACACAGTTTTCATAAGTTGAAACTATTACAGCAAGTAGCTGCTTCTATCACGGATGCTGTTTTGGTGCTAGAAAGACACTTATGTGAGCAGTCTGGGACTGTGCTTTTACTTTATGYGTTTTCCACCTTCTTTTAGTTTGTCACTGTTTTCAAAGTACTTTCCTGTGATTTGTTAAGAAAATTAAGGCTAAACTCAGGCCTTTCTTGCCCAATGTAGTGAACTGGTTTAAAAAAAGATTGATATTGCATAGTATGTGTGTTAATGCATAGGCACCAGAGAGCAAATACATTGCAGAATAAAAGATAACATTACTTGGCTTCCTAAGCTACACGGTCGTGTCAGATAACCTGGTGTTCTGTCAGTTTGCTTTCGTACATTTTGATTCCATAAACAACTCCTCACTGGAGCGAGAAACACCAGCACTGCTGTTCAGTGGAGTCTCCAGAAATACTTTTTAATCTGTATCATCAATTCAAGCCCATTCCAGACAACACAACCTGGAGGAACACTCACTGTCCCACAGAATTAATGGCTTCAATGCAAACGGGATTTGGAACACACATCTCCAAATCCACCAACCACCTTTCCAAGTCTCGTGAGCTCCCAACAGTTCATTTCTCCTCCACGTCCCCCTGCTCCCTGCCAGCTCCTCTCAGCCTTTGTGCCCAACCACCCACACAAGAGCTCAGCACAAGAGATTGATGGGAAGTAATAGCAGAGAAGTTGTGYTACTCAAAACCTGTCACTTCCCTCAAAAGATGCTCCCTCAGGTCCTACATTAAAAATGTGGCTCTCCAGCAGTTGCAGTTTTTATTCAAACAATAGAAACAGCCTCTTACCTTCTCATGCTCTGGTATCTTGAAGAAAGTTTAAGYAGCTGTCAGGAAGGGGTAAGAGGCACTGTCTGGCCAGAGATCTGCATAYTGCATTTTAGTCAAAATTGAGTTTTAGCACCCAGTGATGAACAGATGAAGARAGATTTACAGCAGCAGGGCCAGCCTTGCCAGTGTGCTGCTCTTAATTCAAAGCCAATGGCTCTCTGGARTCACTCAAAGCTTTTGGGTCAGTGCAGATGGCATTTCACTTCAATGCAGTCTTCAAGCACCATCAGCTTTTGGGATCTGTTTAGAAACTAGCTCCCCTCTCCTGCATCCCTCCAACATACTTTGGCTTTTTTTTTTTTTTTTTTTT